AACGTTTTACCTGACACGGACATCAAACCACTCCAAGAAGTTCCTGAAGAAGAAGAAGCCGACCAGAGTAGTTGGGACTCATCCAAGGCGGATCCATCGAGGAAACCCACTTGGAGCTCGATAGGATAGAAGAAGGGATCCATCAAGGAAACCAACGGAGATCAGATAAGATTAGATAACAAACACCCACAAGGCCAGGATCCATCGAGGAAACCACCAACGGGAGATCAAAGATAAGATTAGATTTAAGGCAAATCACCACATCACAGATGAGAATCATCTTGTGGCTATCGTAAGACTCATTTCCTTTCGTATTTTCCCTTAGTTCCCATTATTTTTCTTATATCTACGACTAAAGCTAAAACGCTTGAAAATATAGTGTATGTCTTATAGTGACGATCTTGAAACTTTAATTGAGAGAATTGCCAATTGGAATCTATACAGAATGCCCGAAACAAGAGCGACTACTGCCTCAGCTTCAGGCGTTAGAGACGTAAATATATCTTTGCTTAGATATCAGGCTGATAACATTCCACCTTTCGATGGAAATCCTAAACAATTACATAGATTTATATCTTCTTGCGAAAATTTTCTAAGAGCTTTCCAAAATACAAATAATGTGAATGATCCAATCAATATTTGTTTGCTAGATACCTTTGAGCATTGAGGGATTTGAGCAAATTGAGGGATCGTGCTGCAGATTTAATTGGTTCGCGATCAGAATTAAATTCATGGGTAGCAATAAAAGATTCTCTTACTGTAACTTTTTCCGATCAACGGAGTATTGATTGTCTCATTCAAGATTTAATATCAATAAGACCTTTGAGAAATGAAACACCTATGCAATTTGGAATGAGAATCCAGGATGCAAGGAGTTTGCTGTTTTCAAAATTGAATACTTCCATTGAAAATGCTATGGAAAAGTTGATCAAAATCAGACATTATGACGATTTTGCTTTGAAAACTTTTATTAGTGGCTTGCCATACCAAATGCAATTGGTTATCCGTTTGAGAAATCCCGATTCATTAGAACAAGCGTTGTCATTTTGCACAGAAGAAGAAAATTTCATTTACTTTAGTACTGGGCGTAACCAGAACCTCCAGAGTTCCTTATACAAACCTCAACCTAGACTCAATCCTCATTTTGTCGCTAATCAACCGAATACTAATCGTACTGTACAAATGGTCCACAAGTAAGATATATTCAAACTTCATTTGTTCAAAGCTCTCAAAATCACCCGAAACCAATGATGAATACTTTCCCTGGAAATTATTCTCATAGGCCTAATTTCAATAATAATTTTCCTCCTAGAGTTTTCTAATTACCCTTCCACTTCATATGCTCAAAATCAGACACAATTCCCGAGATTCAACCAGGCTAACACATCTGTTCAACGTCCACATTTCCAACAAAACTTCCAAAGGCCACCTTTCTCTACTAATAGACCTGCATATCCACAAATTACTGCAAGTAATAACAGTAATGTCACAACTAGGACAAGATATCCGATTCCTATGGATACGAGTTCAATCCATTCGAAACCGAATGCAAAAATCCACCCAACACTTATTTGCTCACCAAATTGAAAATGAACAATCACCTATTAATGAAACCATATTGACACCACCTACTAACGATTCTATGCTCAATGAAAACCAGTGCAATCCACCATATGAGCAATATGACTATCCTAATTATGATTTCTCTTATGATGTTCCAAATCAGCATTTCAACCCAATGCTTGACAATGACACATATTCACAAGAAGTTAACGACCCAACAATTGAACAACAAAATTTTTCCCATGTCCCTCCGAACATCAAACCGATATAATATATTTGAATAATATCCATACAGATCTACCTTACATTTATATTCCCGAATTAACTGCTTATTTTTTGATCGATACCGGTAGTTCCAGAAGTCTCATAGACCCCAAATTAGCGTATAAATTTTATTCAGATTATATTTCTGGCGAAAATTTCAATATTCAAACAGCTCATGGTATGACGTTCCATAACCAAGTAGCACATATTCCTGTATTCCAAATTTTCAATACTGACGATTTTCATAAATTCTACATTTTTGGCTTTTCTGATAAATATGATGGCATAATTGGTGCTGACCTATTAGAACAGCTACAAGCCAATATTGATTTAAAAAATAAAATGCTAATTACTCCTATGGCCCATATCCCCATTATTTTCGAAAATAAATCAAATTGTCCGAATCCACCTAAAAAATTCAGACTTACCAAATCACCATAGCCCCTCGTACAGAACAAGTTGTGAAAATTCCCGTGAAGTTGAATAGCGGAACAGGTGTTCTAGAGTATACAAATTTGGTAATAAATTAGAGATGCCTCAAGCTTTGGTGAATATTTCGGATAATTTTGCTATCACTACGATTATTAATTCGAGTGAGGAAGCTGTAAATTTAGAAATCAATAATCCCTTAGATATTGAACCTATAGAAATTTTTGATGTGCATGTTCACAGTGTTAATGAAACTGATGGACATTTTGACAAAAATTTTAATAGCATATTAAAGAATAATCTGCAAAGTTTACGTCTTGATCACTGTAATGAAGAAGAAGCGGATGCTATACACAAGCTTTGTTTAGAATTTAGAGACATTTTTGACTGCGAAAATATTTCATTAAGCTTCACTAACAAAATTAAACACAAAGTTGGGTTAACCGATGATACCCCCACCTTTACAAAAAGTTATCGTTATCCAGAAACTCATAGAAATGAAGTTAAACATCAAATTTCGAAAATGCTACAGCAAGACATTATTCAAGCTTCAACATCACCCTTTTTATCCCCTATATGGATAGTACCAAAAAGGAAGATGCTTCAGGCAAAAAGAAGTGGCGAATTGTAATTGATTATAGAAAACTTAATGAACGTAAAGTCGACGATAAATACCCTCTTCCAAACATAATTGATATTTTAGACAAACTCGGTCGAAGTCAATATTTTACGACACTTGATCTGGCTAGCGGATTCCATCAGATTGAAATGGAACCAGAAGATATTCCAAAAACAGCTTTTTCAACTGAAAATGGTCATTGGGAATTTAAAAGAATGCCTTTTGGTATGAAAAATTCTCCAAGTACTTTCCAACGCGTCATGGATAACATCCTGCGTGGTCTCCAAAATGAAATATGTCTCGTCTATCTGGACGACATTGTATACGTAGTTTTCAGTAGTTCTCTTCAAGAACATATTGTACGTTTAAGACAAGTATTTGCAAAGCTCAGAGAATCAAATTTTTAAATCCAAATGGAAAAATCGGAATTTTTAAGGAAAGAGGTTCAATATTTAGGACATGTCATTACCCCAGAGGGAGTAAAACCAAACCCAGATAAAGTTTCGGCAGTAAAAGATTTTCCTATTCCTAACAATCAAAAAGAGATCAAATCATTCCTAGGTCTCGTAGGTTACTATCTCAGATTTATTAAGGACTTTGCAAAAATTACCCGTCCAATGACACTTTGTCTTAAGAAAGAAGCTAAAGTCGTCCACACACCCGAATTTATAAAATCTTTCGAACATTGTAAAGATCTCCTAGTAAATGCACCCATACTCTCATACCCCGATTTTGAAAAATCTTTCATTGTCACTACCGATGCCTCGAATCAAGCTGTAGGTTGTGTTTTATCTCAAGGTACCATTCCTAATGATAAACCAGTCGCTTATGGTAGTCGCACTCTAAACGAAACTGAAACTCGATATACTACTATCGAAAAAGAACTTATGGCTATTGTATATGCTTGCAAACAATTTAGGCCTTACATATTTGGACGTAAATTTTATATATATACAGATCATCGCCCTCTAGTTTGGTTGATGAATGCTAAAGATGTTAATAGCAGACTTGTACGTTGGCGACTCAAATTAATGGACCATCAATATGAAATCATATATAAAAAAGGAAAATGTAATACTAATGCCGATGCATTGTCACATATTCATGTAAATGCAGTAGAATCAGCTAGTGTCATAAATAACCCAGGTGACATTGATCAGGATATTCAAGATTATTTAAATCAGTTATTTGCCAATAAACAATCTCTCCCAGATTTGGAAGAAAATACCTTAGCATTGTTAAATTCAGATCTCGGAAATCCTATTACGGCTTCACAACCATTAGATTCTTCAAGAAAAATACACATTTTACAAGATATTCAAGTAGCTCCACCGAATAACATACAAAATAGTGTATCGCATGAATCTCCTAAAGACAGCGAAACCGAGACAGCCCACACTTGTAACGCAGAAAATAATTTCAATGATGGTATTCCTATACTAGATGAAATAATCAATAATAAGGTAACCCAAGTTATCGTTTCTAAAAATCCACACAATCAAACAGATGTCAAACAAGAAACCTTTGATAATCATAAAATTCTTTATGTGAAAATTCCAAATTCTGCTTCAGCCATAAATCAATTTCTTAGAGAATACACATCCAATGACAGAACATTTTATCTGTACTTCCATGAGGATTCACTTTATACTATGTTTAATAGAGTATTCATAGATAATTTCGATAGCAAGGAATTAAAATTGGTTAAATGTACAAAATTAATCAATACTGTCAAAGAAAAAGATGAGCAACTTATCCTGATTAAATTTCAACATGAAGGCAAGAGTAATCACAGAGGAATCAATGAAACATTAGAAAAACTCAAACGAAATTATTATTGGCCCCGCATGAAGTCCGATATCACACATTTTATTAACGATTGTGTAATTTGCCAAAAAGCCAAATATTCTAGAAAGCCCCCATATATTCCACTGGTATTGACAGAAAGCATAGGAAAACCCTTCCAATTATTACATGCTGATGTATTTACATTCAATAGTCAACATTTTCTGACGATTATTGATGCTTTTTCCAAATTAGGACAAGCAGTTCCAATCCAAGCAAAGACCTCTATCGAAATCTGTAGAGCATTCTTACATTATTTTTCATATTATGGTCTACCTGAGCGTATTACTCTTGATAATGGTACAGAATTTAAAAATGAGACTGTTAGGGAACTCTTGAAATGTCATAAAATCGATGTGCATTTTACTACACCTTTACATCACGAATCAAATTCACCAATAGAAAGATTACATTCATCACTAATTGAGCATCTCAGAATACTTTTACAAAAATTTCCAAAAGAAACGACCACTAACCTTATCAATTACGCTTTAATAGCATATAACAGTTCATTACATTCTGCTACAAAATTCACGCCATTTCCAGAGATCCTTCGGACCTTATCGAAACTACTTTTTACTCTGACTATGCTTCAAATCATAAAGATAAAATGAAACATCTATACCAGCGTATTTCAAACAATTTGCAGGAAAATAAAGCCAAAGTACTTGAAAAACGTAACATTCATGGTAGCTCACAATATCAGTTCAAAGTAGGGCAAGTAGTCTATAAAGGGCAATCGTAGAAGAAATAAAAAAGACAACAAATTTAAAGCTCCATTTGAGTTAGTAGAAATCTTAGAACATAACAAAGCAAAAATCAAAAATAAGTTCACAAATAAAATAGAAATAATACATATGAAGGAACTCAAAGTCCCTTCTATTTCCACGACCTCAGCGACAATCCTGGCCTCCTTCCCTTAAAATTAGGAAACGCCCAGAATATTGCTGATTATTGGTCATTCATACAAATATTTGATATTTCCTATCTAGCTGAACAATTCTCAGAATTGCAAGTAATTTTTGGACAATTGAAAATGGAAATTGAAAATTCAACTTCCTATTTTACAGAAATAAAAAATTATTGTAATCTAATATAATCATTAGAATCAAAGATTCACGATCAATTGTTATAGATAAATCCAGTTTATAATAGAAAACAGGAAAGAGGATTAATCAATGGGCTTGGTTCGATCATAAAAATTATAACAGGAAATTTAGATAAATCAGATGCGAAACGTTATGGTCAAGCATTATTATCATTATCGAAAAATCAAGAGAGAATCAAAACTTTAGTCCAGGAACAAGTTACAATTATCAGTCAGGCTCTAGATGTTTTTGAGCAAACATCGAAAAATATTACAAAAAACCAATTAATTTTAGAATCACGTATCCTGCAATTTGAGAAATCTCTGATGGCTCTTCAGACAAAAGATTTACACTTAGAAAACGAACTTTTTATACAAATTGTAATTTCACAAATATTAACTTCATTTCGATATATCCACGATGTTTTAGAAAAATTAGAGGTTGCAATATCTTTTGCAAAACTTAATACATTCCATAATTCTATATTGAAACCTCAAGACCTTCTAGTAGAAATAAAGCTTATCTCAGAACATTTACATGATGTCAAACTACCATTTGAACCTGCTTTAGAAAACATATTGCTTTTTGAGAAAATATTAGAAATCAAAAGTTATAGTAAAGGCAATCAAGTTATTTTCATTCTGGAAATTCCTTTAGTAGAGGTCGATAGATATAATTATTATCACTTATACCCATTACCTACGACGACATCCAATCAATTTAAAGTCATATTTCCTTACTCAAACTACCTAATCCTAAATATATATATTATAGCCTTTTTGACAAAAACTGCAAAGAAATTCAGCCTGAACAATATGTTTGCCACGAGAAGAACCCAGTAAAGCTAAGCAAAGGAAATCCATGTGAAGTTCAAATGTTACTATATGAAAAGAATATTACTAACTGTTTTCAAATGCCGATACAAGTACAACAAGAAAAAGTCAAAAAGCTAGATGCAGAAAACTGGATGTTAGTTATTCCCAACAGAAAAATTGTCACATATAGGTGTGGTGAAAACCAAGACAAAATTCCACTTCAAGGAACATATCTACTAGCAAATTGCCAAAATTGCGAAGTCTATATGGGTTCAACTGTTATAAAAAGTCGCCGGAACCCAAAATCACAGTATATTGCACTACCAAAGCTAGTTTTTGAGGGATTCAAGAAAACGCAGACTGCCCATTTGGAACCTCTTCAACTAGAATCCATTAACTTCGAAGAAACGAACAACATTAGAACTGCCCTGGATTTGAACAAGCACAGACTCCAAGAAATCCCCGATAATCCAATTATTGATCTTCAATCAGTAAGCATCTGGACCATCTTACTGTATTCCCTAATTGCCATCATCTGTGGCTACCTCACTGTTAAATCCTACTTTAAAAGAAAACAAGCCGAAAAGAAGAAAGAAAATAGAAAAACCGAAATTATTGTTTGAAGCTAAGAACGATAAAGATAGAAGATAAGTTATAGAAGATAAACGTTAAGGAGAAAGAAGATAGAAATTATCCAAGAAGAACGAAAACTTTCAAACTTTACCGTTGGTTCAGTTTCTACGGCGGGAGGAGTTACAGACACCAGATATGCATAATTGTAGAATTGCATTTCACATGGCTTGCACTTTTTACAGAGTTTATAAATATACCGTAATTTGCATTGTATTCAGCTCTAGCTATTTCTCGGTCGGTTTCACATCAATTTTGTACGTTTTGAAAATAAAAGTTTTTTAAAAACTTATTTCGGAGTCGTACTTCCGTAAGTCGCGTTGTTCCCGTTTGTTGTCGGTTTTTTTTCCCGCGACAAAGGGTTCGCAAGGGGCGAACATGTCGCGAACTTGACTAGGCCCCTCATTCGCTGGTTGCTCAGTTGCGTCATAGCGAGTGCCGGGAGTGGTTGTGTTTTTTCCACTTCTTTTCAATTGTTTTAGTTTTAATAATATATGCGTAGTTGTAAATTGCCAAAGCGCAAAGTAGCTCTGCAGCAGTAGTAGCAGTTTCACCGTCCATACTAGTCAAGAACGCGAACTATACTGTGAAGCAGGCGCGAACATTATGAGACTGTGGAACTGTTGGAAGAGTTTTCGGGATTCGCACCGAGATCGGCGGCGCGATTTCACGCCGTAGTCCGCGCGAGAGTCTGGAGAGATTTCTCTTACATAAATATTTGATACCTGTATCACTAGAATGTAAGGTGAGAAAATTTTCTAAGAAAATAATTTTTTCAAATACCTACGTATTTTCAGTTTTTTAAGCTTAGAATGGGATCCGTGGTTTGTCGATTGTGCTATTTCGCATTCTGTCGCTAAGAGCTGCAATTCCGCAAATCGGGGTCCGCACCTCCTAGGAAAGGAAAGTTTTATCATCGCGAAACAATTCGATTTCGTCGATTGGTGAGAAAGTATCTACTGTTATGACGAAAAAAATTTAAAATTACATATTCATATTTGTCGCTTGCCTATTCGGACCTCAGTCTAGACGATCTGGAATTTCGATAATAGATAACTTATTGTGTAAATGGGCTGCTATCAAGGCTTGGCATTAACAATGGTAGATGCCTCGAGATCCCCGTTTGAAGTGCGCCCCGGTACATTGCGTCAAGGACCCTAGCTCAACGAAAGTTTGTGTTATCAGAGTCATATAATCTTAGGGTAAACATTCTAGTGCATACCAAAGGCAAAAAACTACACATTTCAATGTTCTTAAACTATGTTCTGTATTTCACCATCAAGTAAGTGTTACAATCATCTCACAAATAAAACAATGTGTTTTGCATCAAAACTATAAATAAAACTATATTTCCAGACGCTTTTCTCACTAACTACTTCAAAACAAAAAACTATGCCAATACTTGCATGAAATGAGTGTGGTGTAGTAGACTCCAATTTTGTTGTGAATGTTTTTATTATGATTACGATCCGAAGTTGTATAAAGAAGTATAATGTATTGTTAATTGACTATTCCAAAATACCAGGTACATTATTTTTATATCGTTCACGAAGCTTGTGAGGCTTACAATAATAAAATGTATAAGAATTAATATGCAGCCTCAATGAATCCAGATCACATTAAAACATAGTGGATACGTCACACAAGACATCAAAAAGCGGGTAATTTTAAACTAATTCACCTCGCACTGACGGGTAGCAGTAGGAGTGGTGGTGGGAAAGGGAAACGTGGTAACTTCGTCACCTTTGGCGCTTTTTGCAGACCCCGTTGTACTAACACTATACTACCCCGCGTGCCATCTACGGGTAACTGATTATAGAATCAATACAACATCTATGGCTTGAAATTAACTTTGGAGATGGTCAATCGAATCCATGAGGCTTCGAGTCAATGAATTAGCGGCTCGACGCGCTAACCACTCGGTTACTTAAGCCTCCTACCTCAAACTGGCATTCTTCCTTAATTGATTTCTCATGCACTAAGTCGCATATATGCTATAGGTTCCAGAATGATAGCAGAACGAAAACTGAGACACAGAACTATAATTATTTTTTCAGATAGTCAAGCCGCACTAAAAGCACTTGA